CGAAGGACGAGCGATTTTCGTATTGCACTGCTGCCGTGACTAATTGTATTGGCACTGGCGGCGGGAGGCTCACATGTAGTAAGGGACACCTCCGAGAGCTGCCTTCCAGAAATAACACAAGATCTACTGTACATATCAAACGAACTAACCAGTTTTAGTGACCGGGTTAGGACACAAGAAGTACAAGAATTACGCAACGGGAAAAAAATCATATAATATTAATAGTTTAAAAACTGCATCGAAAGTATTAGGACGCGGATGTGCAATGAATAATTCAGTTTAGCAGACTTTCTCTCTCTCTCTCTCGCAAGGTCAGCGAGTGCAGAAGGCTGGGCTTTTGACAGAGGGATTGGCTCACTTGCGTTCACTGCTGCTTGGAGTCGAAGGCAGCGAATTTGGAGGGTTAAAAGCCGGTTCAAAGGATGCTTCGCTACGTGTGCGCTGAGAGGGGTAGTCCCCGGCTCTAGAAAAACTAGCGCTTTGCAGGGGAATTGAAATATATTGCCACTACTTCTTGTTATGCCGGGATCTGGCTTCAGCCGGGAAATGAGAAAACACTAAATGCTTGGAAGCCGGCGATTTTAAATCTATTTGTGAACTCAATCTCTAGAGTACTTGAGGGTTGGGTTGCAAAGGGGAAGGCGATGAAAAATATCTCAGACGTTCATGACATCGTGCCGACTTTATATTGTGTGATTTGGTAGCAGCTGGTGTTACTTGTGCGTTTTTATTAAAGGCCTATTTAATTTACTGAAATCATTTTAGAACACAGTGAAAATGTCTTGAGAAGAGGAACCTTTCGAAGATGACTGTAAGTACAGTACTTTGTGGTAAATGTTGGGTTTTTTTTAACTTAGCCTAATCAGTTTGCATAGAATATCTGCCTCGAAACATATTTCTCTTGTTGGTGTAATTTACTTGAGCTACGTTTTGTTTATCCTCTGGTGTTTTGCATATTGGGCATGTCAACATAAGTCAAGTCTGCATCGTGTTAAAATCCATGTATCGCCTCAAGCCTACAATTTGTGATCAGAAAGCATTATTATTACTACTTCTATGACTACTATGGTTGTTTCTGTTGTTTTTGTTATTATTGCACTAGCTCACAAACGACTTCTTTTTGGGTCGTTCCATCTTTTTGGGATGCAGCGAATGACTTTGCATTACACAGACCTTGATTCCACTTTTTTTTTTCCGAATCCAGAAAGAGGTTAACACCATCAGTAGTTGCCTTGGGTGAAAGGATAGACCCGGTCTGGCTTGCTGGTTTGTTGTTGGGGTTTGTGTTCTACAGGGGGACCGGTTACTACCGTCAGAAAGGAAAGCATTAGAATGAAATCTGAGAATAAGCAGGGTCACCGTGAAAATTCGTGTTTGGCATTAAACGTGTCACACATAAAAAAGAAGAAGGCGACAATAGGTGTTTTCCCACTCGAAACGTCAAAACATTTACACTCCCGTTTCCTTCGATTGTCAAAAAAACAATTATTTTGAGCTAATTGTGCATGTACAGTATTGTATGCAAAAGATGTTTCTATAGGGGGAGGGGTAGTTCATTCCTTGGAAAAAAACTAAAGCAGGTCCACAGTATCTTAATCCCGCAAGGATCACACTGAATTGATGTTATCTCTCTCTATATATATAAAAAAAAGATTCTAAATATTGATAGCGTGTGTTCATTTCATCTCGTGATCGTTCTGTGATGGATCGTGTACCGCCGGCATAAATGAATCCTTCGTGGAGGCGTTGCCCTTTTAAGAGGAGAGCAAGTGCGGGTTTAAACAGGATTCCCACGGTTTTCCCTTTCAATAACTTCCAGCTCTGTTGGGCAGCTAGTCGCCTATGAAAACACGATTCCATTCGTAAGGTCCTATTAATAGTTTAGAGTTGAATCTTTCTTCAGTACACTGCAATGGGCACACCGCAGTTGTACCATAAAGGCAGTAACTTCATTCACAGATTCGGGAAGGGGACGTTGTAAACCGATGTGCTCTGTGGTAAGACCCTCTGACATGTTCACGTTTCGGACGAGAATGTGAATGAAAGTAGCAAAACTGCACTGTAATTCAGGTTGTGTTGTGATTTTTTTTTTTTGCAATGATCAAAGTCTTTTCCCGATGACATCCGATGCGTTTGTCTTTTTTTTTTTGTTGTTGTTGAAACTTGCTTTCGATTTCCTCCGTTACGAATATCAGAAGGCTTTTGACAGTGGGATCTAAGACAACGAGGGAGGTTGTGCTGAGTCAAATATTTGTCTGGGTGGCAGCGCTGCGAAGTTTTCGTCTTCGTGAGGTTATGATGTAGCCAGCATATCCCGGGGAAATGTGACTAATCCAAGGAGCGGGGGTTGGGATCGATAAGGAGGGGGTAAAAAAAGCAAACTTCTGAGAATATACTTCCCGGAGTCTATCCGTTCTTCGTGGAGATTGTTTTGTCTGGATCATGACCTGATTGCGCTACAGTATTTCCACTTCCTTAGAAACCGGCGACTCGGGGATTTGGTCATGGAAATGTAGCGTAAGCAGCGAATACTCAGTCCCTTGCAGAAACAGTATCGGATGTTTAAAATGTCATTTTGTACGCAGTATACGGCGATTTTGTTATGGTTCTATCTCTTGCCTTGTAATCCTACTGCTTAGAAACAAACATTGCAGAGAGAGAGAGGGAGAGAGATTTATGGAATCTGATGAAAGATAGAGCTATTCTTGGTGTTGCCGCGCCTCTTCTCGTCCTGTGCGTAACGCGTTTTAATGTGCTTGGCACATCGCTTTGCTTCTGTTGTACCTTTCTAGCATTGCCTTTGGATTCAAGGCTTTATTTTTTAATTCAACAGAATCTAACGGTTACAAATATTAACTTGAGACGTGTTATAAAGTTCTAACAAGTAGCTACGTTTAAGTACGATGGATTTTGAAACTTGTTTAGAATGCGATCTGAATTGTAATCATTTCTTTTTATTTTCCCCTCGTAATAAATTACACAATTGAAATGTTGTACTAAGCACGGAAAAGGCAATTACAGGTTTGTAATTGTGAATGCTTCTAGGCTCGGTTCAAGCCCTTAACGCCCGTTTTTTGCAAACTAATGCATGCAAAGTACGTGAACTAATGTCATTCCCCTAAAATACAGGCCACCGTGTTTAGTTTCAGGCTTAGAGTACAAAAATAGACGGCGTAAGGATATACTGGTGCATAATCAGCGTGGTGTCCGAGGTTTAAGGAAATTAAGCACAAAGTCTTTAATCCATTGCAATACAAAAAATAACGTCCTTTAGTGCTTTCAATGATTTTATTTTTTTCTATTATAGTTCAGTACTGTACAGTAGTACGATTACAAAAAATACTAAGATCTATTGAAAAACACCAATTAATTGCGTAATTTCCGTAGGATAAAATGTGTCTTCACTTTGTCTTTTCTCAGTTATTTTTGGTACCATCTTAGTCTTCAGCCACTTTTCTGGCAGATGATCTCAACTTGAAAAATCTGCATCATTTACCGTATTGATTCTTACCAATGGGAAAGTATCCCAGAAATTTTGCCCATCATTGTCTCTGTGAGGAGTCAGCATTAGAAAGTACTGAGAAATGGGACTTTTGCGAGGATTTGTTGAATATACTTCAGATTTGTTCAATAGGGCCATGACTACTGTTTGCCAAGGCTGTGAAAGTTAATTTGCCTTCTTCCTTTATCCATATTAAAATAGTACGGGGGATACCATTTTCCCCAAAGTGCTGTCCTCCATAGACAGATGGCCGTATGCACCAGTTGGCCATATAGATACCCAATGGCTGCTGTATGCAAGCATCCTGCCTTGTAAATCATGATAAAGCAAACCCACAGTTCCTTTACAGATCACCACCTGTGGCCATCCAGTGGCCCAGATCTCACTGTGCACCACGGCAGATCATCACATTTTGTTGAGGGTCACTGTTCCGTTAAATCCTTTCTCGGGTTTCCTATACATCACTGTTAGCAAAGGACTGTGAAAACCTAGAGCAGTAAAAAAAACAGACAGGAGATAATGGCCTGTTGTAGCCTGCAACCACCTCTGCAGCAGGGTGAGAAACATTTCGGATTTAGTTCATCTTCCATAGTTCCCCAGGCTGTGGAGAAAATGTCTGATGACTCCTGTGGACACCTGCACTCCATTTGACCATCACTACAGCTGGTTATCTACTGTCCCCTTCTGCCTCCTCTGAGCATGTATAGAGCACATGTGGCTCGCTGTCCTTTGACTTCACTCGAGGTGGAAAACCACTGCAGTTAATGGTTAACATCAAAATATTCAGAGCCATGGACATTTCCTGCTCACTTCCACCAAATTACTATCGGCTCAGTATGGCCATCCTGCATTGGAGATACTGCTGTTACAGACTTACTATTTATTATGTCTCAGATGTAGGTATTAGTCAATCATTACAAATGGTCTGAAATTACCAAACATCTTTTATAACATGGAGTGAGTTCTTATTATTTAAGTCTGAGATGCAATATGCAGTTATATTTTTTGGTGTAAAGCAAACCACAGGACCAGATTGTCCTATACTGGGCAGGCCTAGTTTAAACTCGGACGTTTATGCTTCTGCTGAGCATTCTGTTACTCCATGGCCTTCTGGTCGCAGCTACCTGGAGGTGTGACCTGCCATCTAAGCTGAGGCAAGTCTTCAGTGGAGCAGAAACAGCGTAGGCTTGAGTAACATCAGAATGAATGGCTGTTCAGGACCTGTTCGGAGATATTGCATTCTAATATGCAAACTAAATGCATTTTTTTTACTAAGCTGCTCACCAGAAAAGCATAAGCAGCTTGTATGCTATCCGTGTAATTTTGCTCTGGAAGGGGTTCTGAACTTCTTATCCCCAGCTGTGCAAACCAGTCGTGGTTTCCTTGAGCCCGCTGGGTGTTCACTGATGTGTGAGAAGTGTAAACGTTTCAGGTCCACTGTTTTGTTAAACCCCTTTCGATAACGTCCCCCTCCCTCTTCTTTCGTTTCCTTCTTCAGGATTACAGGGAGGATGGTATGGACTTGGGAAGTGATGCCGGCAGTCGCTCCAGCTCCGAATCAAACTCCAACAAAGTGACGCCCTGTTCGGAGTACAAGTCTTCTCCCAGCCTGGACCTGGCCACCTTAGAAGACTACGAAGAAGATGAGGACTATCAGGAGTACAAGAAGAAGGTGATCGAGGAGTGGGAAAGCGAGTATGGGGATTACGCAGACAACGAGGGCTACAGAAAAACGGTGAACAGCAGGAGTTTAGCCGAGGAGTTCCAAGATGTTAAAAGCCCCACCCCTCCTCCTCCCCTTGACCCTGCTCCTGAGGAACTGAAGCAGAATGGCAATATTGTTCCAAGTCACTTGGGAGCTAAAGCAAACGAACCACTTCAGCAGCCCAGCCAGCCCCTGAGGATAACAGGAGGGGGTGTGGACTCCCCAAGGCAGGAGAGCTCGGGAACTAACACCGCAGAGGAACCTCAGCTTCCCACCATGGACTGGGAAGCACTAGAGAAGCATCTGGCTGGCCTGCAGTTCCGGGAACAGGAGATGCGTAACCAAAACCAGAGCCAGGGAAAAACCAATTACACCTCAGTGAGTCCTTGCCTCCTGCTGTCTTCGAGCTCCTGCTCCGGGGTCCGGCATGTGTAAACAGAGCTGACTTGTGTTCTGTGCAGTGCCATTCCAGTGTTGCCCATTTGTATTTGTGTAAGAGTCCATCGCGTTTTAGTCCATCTGTTATCTGTTTCAGAGAGCCAAACTGTTAGGCCAGTGGAAATGTGGATTCAGGTGCGGTGTTAAGCTCTTTGTAGCCTACTGCTTCTCGGAAGAACACTTGTTTGATCCGTTGATTTTACTTCTGTTTGCAGTTGCAATTTGTTGTGGAGATCAGCTCTAGCTTTGTGGTCTGTGCTGTGGATAGAGGTTAGTTTTGCAAGTAAGCAGCAGAAATGGCGTTTTTGAACACTCGGCTGCTGCCAGTAGTTCTTTTAATGAGGTTCAAAGCTGTTATTGGCACAGGTGTTCTGTTCATGCCAGTGGACAAGTATTTTCCTTTTCCTAATTTCCTATTTGCAGAGTTAACATACAGGGCCAGTAATAGTAGTGTCTGATTGGGCATTATGGTAACAGGTAAATAAACCATATCTCCTTATCTGCAATCAAGCGAATTGTTTATCTTATTGGTCCTATTGCTAAAAAGCTATAAATATATATACAGTATATAAACACATTTTAATGTCATGTGTTGCTTTTGTGGAACCTCTAAAGATGCTGAACTTTCAGTGTTATTATACAGTACACTGTATAATAATTATTATACAGATTCTAATGCATAGAAACCGAGTTGCAAGTAACTAAGCATAATTCACGTTGATTTTATTCTTTTTTTTTCGACACAATAACGTGGAACGTATTTAATCTGCTCAACAGGTACCCTTTGTATCTTGACTGCGAGTCTAAGTTGCCTTGTATAAACCGCCTCCGCACGGGTAAATGTGAATGTAAACCTATTGACCCCTCTTGGGCAGCTTAAAGGTGAAAAATGATGATCTGGAACTATTTGTATTAAAAACGGAGCGCACTAGAGGGCGCTATTGCAATGCAGGATGCAGCTAACGGCGCTGACTTACTGGTTTAGGCTGTTTCCGTCTGGGCCAAGGTAAAGCATCCTTCAAAATTCATCTCGGTGTCACTATGATTGCGTCACATGTTATAGAGGGCCACAGTCGTCTTTATGCTTGTGAGCGTTCATCAGTAAAAAATGTGAATGCATAAAATATTGTACGGTTTTCTACAATTTTGTTGTTTTTTCCCCTTTTTTTCCCTACCCAGGGATCTTGATTTACTATATAGGCACGTTTTCTACATTTCAGCCCAAGAGACACGGTAGACTTTGTTTTTTGATGCCTACAAGTGTCACACTGTTCTGTGTTTGTTTCACAGGCGACATTGACTAATAAACATTGTCCTCACAAATGCTGATCCACCTTGTACTCTAGATAGCAGTATGTTTAGGGAATAGGTTCTTGGTTCAAAACGCAGATAGCACAGTCCTAGTATTGATAAGTCCCGTTATCAGGCCTGCATTGGTGATTGCCTTTTGCGTCATTTGTAGACTTATTGGTGGAAGCTGCTTTATATCATGTCAGTACGAGACTCTTAAGGTTAAAGTCCATTATCTTAGCAATTATGGAAAAGTGATTCCATTTAAAAACGCATTTCTCTGCTAAGGGAGATATTGTGACGTTTTAAATACAAAGACGTAATTTTGCCCGTTAATTATTGAAATCGTGAAAACGTGTTTTTTTTTTTGCTCTTGAGTGAATTGTTTCTCTAGTCGTTGGTTTATTTATTGTGGGGAAAAGAGATAAGAACACTTGCCTTGTCTATGAGTGAGTCGGGCACTGCCTGATGTTCCACAGAGCTCAGGAACTTGATTTTAACAGCTGTAAAATCTGACATGGTATGCTTGGTATCTAAAGCTTTTTGTTATTCCAGACTCCCATCCCTGATCTTTCCACTGAATTTGAATGCAGTATGAGCAAAATGACGATTCTTTCACTCTTGGTTAGCCACAAAGTACAAAGATTATCATGAACTCTCATTTATGAGAGCTGCGTTATTGCCTATCCCTACAAGTTGTTTCAGGGCCTCATAAATATCGAGGACAGATCTTATTATTACAAATACAATGTTCTTATTTCCTTTGTATATTCATGTCTGTCAACAGCATGTTGTTTCTTTTTCACTGTTTTTGACTAAACACTCAAAACAGCTCAACTTCAGGAAATGTAAGATAAATTATGATAAGCAGAGATGAGTGTAGGAAAGTTCATTTGCTGGAAATAACGTTAAATCCTTTGTAGAACTCTGAAAAATGAACAAGTCAGTGTGTTCTGAATAGATTTGTCTGTAAATGAAGCCTTTTCTCAAATTTGAGGATCCATGTGCAAGTTGCAAAAATTCTCATCAGTAAAATAATTCAAATCCAGTTCATTTTGTTGACAATTTTTCAATTGTCTTACCAAAGATGTCTCTTACGAAATTCTCAGTTCTTACAGTAGAACAGTATTTTGCCTTGGGAAAGATAATTCTGTAGTCTGTTCAGCCTATCTTGTTTGTCTGGTTCCAAGAAGCTAATTGATTTTAGGATCTTACCCATCCATTTCTTGAAGAAGCCAATAAAATCAACTTCCACATCATGTCTTGGCAGGTTTTTTCCAGACACCTCACACCCTCTGCAAAAAACAAAAGGGTCTTGTGCTCTTAAAGTGCCACCTCTTACTTTTCATTTGTGTTCCTGAGAGTTTGTTTCATCATACAGTGTCTCCATACAACTGTGAAACAATGCTTATGTAACAATTCTTTCATCCCAGGAATAAACCAGGAGAGACAGCACTAAGTATTTCAGGAATTTAAAATTATTTCTTGTTCCTTCCCACACAACAGGGAATTCTTCGGCTGATAGCTGAAGCCGCAGTTTAATGTTCTTTGTAAGCAATGTGCACCGCCCAGTGGCACTGCACAGTTAGAGCTGCTACATGTCAGGACATTTATTCCATGTAAAAAGGTCATTTACAAAGCCGGGTTTTGTGCATATACACAGGAATATATGTACCACTGATCAATTAGCATCCATCTGCCACATAAATGCTTTTGTAATTGTGCAAGTTGCTTGGAAAAAATGCCTGCATTTGCATATCAGATTTTCCCTCTTGGTTTTTCACGCTAGGTGAAATCTTCTCTGCAGTCAGTGAAAAAACCCACGTAAATCGTTTTATTCCCAGCTTCGTTCAATTCACACCAACACATTGAACACAGCTGTGATCTTTCCTTGTCATTTCATGTTTTTATATGGAGGTGAACTACTGTAGATGGGCTTGCTTGCTGCAGGAGGTGTTTTAAGTGTGCAGGCTGTTTACTTTTGCTTGGGAAGCTGCAGAAAGATGAAGACACGACAGGCTCAGTATGTAATGGAACTGGAGGCAGTGGGGGTTTGGAACTGGATTGGATTTTCTGTACTGAAATATTTGCAGCAGTGGAGGGTAGTCCATAAATTGTAATGCACAAATTTGGCGTTCCTTCATTCTCTGTCAACTGGCATTGTAAATTGTGCACTAACACTGTGTGGCATAACAGGACAATTGTTAGGTAATGAATAAACCTTCATAGTTTACCTGTATTAATTTTACTACCATTAATATTAATTTTACCATTCAATTTAGTCCAAAATAGTTAATAAAATTAAAATACTCTAAATCCCCCTCATGAAGCCATATTGAATAAGCAAAAATATATTTTTATGTTTATATCCATACGTATTAGGTTAACACTGTCACCTTCTTCAAGATTTAAGATTTTTTATTTGCCGTATACAACCTGTGTATTGGAATGCTTAGTCGTTCATGGTAAAATATCTGAAATAATAAGGTTAACTATTGATCATTAAGTGAAGAGCTGTCTAATCCACGGTTAAAGTTGGTGTTTGCTTGTTTAGAGTGCCCCTAGTGAGCACTCTAAAATTAACAAGAGCATCTTTATCATCACAATTTGTACTTTTAATATAATCCTAGATCAGTACAGTAAATGCATAGCCATGTAATGTCAGTTTTTAAAGAAAGGCTAATTCTTCAAACGGGGGATTGGCTAAAGCTCTTTATGAATGTCTACATTTAAAATGAAAAAAGGGATCCACAAGATTTATTGTAGCTTAAAAGTGTTTAAAATGAATTGCATTACAGTATGTGAGATTCTGGGTTTTGTATTTTTTAATTGAAAGAATGGGTACACCATTATATAACTCAGAAAGGATTTTCATTCCCACATCACATTTTTTTATGTTGTGCTAGTCCTCTTGGAGAGAAAAGCTTTTAAAGTGGGTTTAAATATTTAAATTTAACACTGATAGTAGCATCAGGGCTTGTGCTGAAGATGCATCAGGATCCTGAGAAAAAAATATTTTAAGATTTTTCGCCAAGCTGCATTCTTCCTGCTGCACTCTGGTAAAAAATCTGTTACAAGATGTGCGCTTTAGAAACGTAAGACATGGGATTGGTCAACAAAACCGGGTTTTTCTAATTTGATTTTGAGAGGCTACTTAGCCAGCTTGCTGAAATCAGTCCTGTCATGGAAGTAAACAAGTATGTACAGTAAGTGGTCCCAAATCTCTGGTATTTATCAGAATTGTGCTCCTGGATTTTTTCATGTTGTCATAACAAGACAGTTAAAAATGCTTAGACAGCGTAGCCCACTGCCTGAAAATTGTAAGCATAAAAAACTGCACAGGTCTTCTCCCATGTTCCCTTCTGGATGAAAAAAATAAGTTGATCCCAGAAGCTATGCGACATCTTTTTCAGATTCTGTGCTTGGATAATTAGAACTGCCTTCCAACACCTACGGAAGACTGCAAGAGTTTATGAAGGCTTTTACATTATGCTGCTACAGTATTCTAAACCTCTATGACAACCACTGAAAAAGTATTCCAACGCAAAACTGTGATTAATGATTTAAAATTGTAAATGAGTCAAATTTAATTAGCTTGGTGATTAATCATATCTTTCTTCAGGCGCAAGATTGACAGCAGTGGAATCTTG